TTTTCTAAGAATTTGAACATTTAAAGGTAATTTACATTTTAAACTGTGTGCTTTTGAAAGCACAATATGTCAGACTTTTATATCAAAATATACAAACCACTAGAACAGTGTTATACATTTTGCTGACTAATGTACGTGCATTATCCCAAATCATTTTGAAGAATTAGTACAGAGAAATAAGCTATTTTAACTAGTGATTGTGACTGCACAGAGCAGCATAATAAAATAATCTCAAAATGTATTTACTATGATAAAACCAAGCTGCTTCCTCTCCACATGGTCACGAGCAGATAAACCGGAAGCGGTGGACAAAAAGCATCTTCGTCAGCAATTGCTTTAATTTCACTTCAGCTTTCAGCATTACTGTCCTTCATACCATGTTAATAAGCTTTTAATACTTTAGTTCACAGGTGTCAAATTTAGTTCCTGCAGGGCCACAGCTTTGCAGTTTAGTTTTAACCCTGCTTCAACACAGTTAGTTTGATCAGGTGTGTTTAATTAGGGTTAAAGCTAAACTGTGCCGAGCTGCGGCCCTCCAGGAACTGGATTTGACACTTTAGTTCATTCATAAAAATAGTTTCTCGTTTTCACCCATAGTCCCCTAGGAAGTAATGAAGACCACAACTCCCATGAGTCTACACTCATTCACAGCGTCATTAAATTACACCTTTGTTTGTTTTGAAAATGCGCCATCTAGTGTGTATACTAGGTATTGAGCTTTTAAAGCAAACTAAAACATAATTTTGACTATAAAACCACTTTAAAATGTGAGAAAACTCATTGCGTTAAACTTTTGTGTAAAATCAAAAAAAACTTGTCTAAAAATTTTGTGTAAAATCAAAATTTACAATAATGATTTTGCTAGCTGACATTGTTAATCTTAAGTTAAATAATTAATCTGTGGACGTTAATGCACTGAAAATAAATGTTTTGGTAATCTTTACTCAAAGTCTGACCATTTGCTTCCTTGTTTAAAGTGGTGATCCTTTCTCTTTTGACTTCACTTTGATGCTTCATACACAATATTTATAATTACACCACTTTTACCGTTAGTTTGCTATGAGGCAATGAGACTCAAATAAAGCCTGCCCAGATCGGAAGTACATCTACATCACGGGGTGCATAAACTTGGTTCTGGAGGGCGGGTGTCCTGCAGATTTAAGCTCCAACTTGCGTCAACACATCTGCATGGATGTTTCTAGAAAGCCAAGTAAAGCCACGGTCACACTAGAGTTTGACATAAAAAAAAAAAAAAAAATCGAGTGATTGCTCCATATTTTCAATTTCTGTACAGAGCGGTCATATTTTGATCTTCTATTGGTCTCACGCAGTCACATGATGTAATTCCACAGGTCAGAGTTCACCAAGCTTGAACTTTACAATGCAGTGAACTGCATTGTCACACAAGCTTGCATTTCTGGTCTGTGGCATTCGCATACGTATGAATGGAAGTCTATGGGGTGAAAGGAGCAGTGTGATCGCGGCTTTAGAGCTTGTTTAGCTAGCCCATGTGTGTCTGATTGAGGTTGGAATTATACTTTGCAGGATCTTCAGAGTCCAGCGTCCAAAATTGCCTACTACTTTGTAGGTACTGCATTTGAATTTAAATGTACTACTCGGCTGTTAGATAAGTATGTTCTACACAGTATGAATGTCACTGTTATGAATGGAACTCAGACATACAACCTCCACCATTTTGTCATTATCACATGACCTACCTGCGTCAGAAGCGTCGCTTCACTCCTATTCATAAATTCTCTGATTGTGCATCATGGGATAGTGTAGCGTTCATCTGCTGCACACTTCAGAATCTCACCGGAAGTAGTAGATCATCCGGGTATGTCTCACATTCTGTTTTTCGAATTCAGACATACTACTCGGCTCGTGTAACCCCACAGGTCCTACACCACCCAACCCGCTCCGAGCTGGTATCAAACCGGCGACCTTCCGCATGGGAGTCGGTTTTTCTAACAAGGAGGCCAAAGACCATGACCTCTAGCATCTGTCACTAGAGCACCTTCAGAGGTCAGAGGAGTGAGGTTCACCTGCACAGCACTTACTAGCTGACCTCCGTTACACTCGCATACTGATTTTAGCGTACTATATAATATGGAAGTATGCAATTTTGAATGCAGCCCAGGATTGAGTTTGGGCAGCCCTGATCTGCATACTGAAATAAAAGTCTTCCCATTCAATGAGGACATTAATTCTTCAAGCTGATTTTACTCAAAAAAAAAAAAAAAAAAAAAGTAAATTCATTTTCATAATCATGCCCATAGTTCATTATTAATGATAAGGCAATGGGCTTCCTCACTGTTTTAGGTCTGCTTATCACTTTTTACAGTGTACACAAAACAGGAAGTCCATAAAATAAGTCAACAAGCTATAATCAAAAAGCTATAATTAAGAGATAAAATTGAGTATGAGTTGTGAGCTATAAATGTAGAATTACAGTATTTGAACTTTTTGTCATCACAATTCTGAAGGTAAAAAAATGGTAGAATTATGCAGGGGAAAAAACCCTGAATTGTGGGAAATACTGTAAACTCAAAAAAACAAAAACAAAGTCACTTTCTGACAGAAAACATGCAAACTCAGCTCAGACTGCTCTGAGTTATTGTGAGGGGAAAAATTGAACTGTTAGATAAAAAGTTGCTATAACCTTTATGTTTTTAATCTGTATCAGAAATGGCTTTTCATAGCAATAATACATTTAATTTATTTATAACATGCATTTCTAAAATCCAAAGCAAACAACACCAAAACTCCATGGAAATCTCCATTATTTGTCAGTTTAGCACAGACAGACGTATACTTTACAAATAAACTATGACCTCCATCCTTTTCTCATTGGTCTACTCATGAAATCGGAACACCTACATTTTAGAAGGCTATCAGACAGCAAATAAAAACAGAAAGGGGAGGAGATAACAAAGCAACACCCCCGACACATGACATGATTTATGAGGTGGTTAAAACAGTTGATAACCTCTCACATCCTGCCTTTTTTTCTCCCTCTCAGCTCAGCCTGTTCTTCCCGATTATATTCTGCCTGTGCACAGTATTTCTAGTGGTGGTACCTTTATACAGCGACACCATCAACTCATTAATCGGTATTGGCATTGCTTTATCTGGAGTGCCCGTCTACTTCCTGTGCTGCCATCTACCTGCCACAAGAAGACCGATGTGGCTCCGCAAGTTCATTGGTGAGTTATTTAACATTTGTTAAAATTCACAGAGCTCTAACTGACCCTAATACGCATTTATTTGAATTCTCTGTTGACCAGCATCCTCAGGCGTACTCATTCAGAAAGTGTGCTTCTGTGTTCTTACTGAGATGGACAAGGAGGAGGAAAAAACGGAGTAGATGACTGTGGAAAAATAAACGGTGTTATTTGTGGAGGACTCGAGTTGATATTCAAAAACAAAAGCTGCTGACGGGATTAGCATTGGTTTTTACACTGGTTTATCTTTTCAGGTTGATTAGTGGCAAAACAAGTCCTTTATATTTATGATATTTATATTTTAAATAAAGGCTGCATTTTGATCAGTTTCATTCTGGTTTGATGGTTAACTTTAAAGCAGCTCTTTATATACAGAAAAACTACCTTTGGGTTGTTGTAGGGATTGGTGAGATGTGGTATGATAGCACTAATAACACAGGGATAGTAATACACTTTAATGTTGCACATTAACTAAGCATGAATTGAGATGATTGTACACTGAAAGTCTAATATAACACCTTGTTGTATTTTTGTGGGGACAGTAACTGCCGCTACAGTATGTCGTATTGTATGTTTCAGGTTCGTATCTGACTATCTAAAGCAGTATTTTCCATGTTTCTCTTTAGTAAAGACTCGAATGACAAAGGCAGTGTTACTGTGGATTTGTGATATGTTGAAGACAAAAAATAAAGGACAAACTATGCAAACCTGTGTTTAAGTCAAATTTCATTATTTTTATTCATGTGCTTTATATGAGGTGCATTTGTGCCTGTTTAAAGGTGCTGTATGTACGTTTTTTGACTCTTCTAAAGCATAAAAATACCATAATATATTTGTAGACATTTAAGAAACATGCTAAGTGAACATTGTTCTTTATCTGAAAAACAGTGCTGAAGTCAGATATTCTACTTTGAAAATGTGCGTTACTTGCCGGATCTGCTGTCTTTGTTTTGGTTATTTTAACCCGCCCACTGCCTGTTTAGCCAATTATATTTCCACACCCAGGGTTGCCTTAATAAAAGCCGCGTATTCGATTTATTCAGTCATGAAGTCTCACAAAGTATGTGTTCACAACTGAAACGTGAAAAGGCTACATTAACCCTGTGTCCTAACAACACACCACATGATGAGATAAGATGCATTTTTTTCTATTTGCAACATGACAGAAATTGAAATACAGCCATTCAGAAGCACAGAAAAGTGCACTTACTGCACTCCAATGAAACGGTAGGATATATAATACCATTATTACATATTAAACCTCTTTAACATTATTAAATGAACATGATGAATCACTGATATGTGTTGGTTTGCATTATTAAGTTCTCAAGATCAATTTCAAATAGTTTATTTTATTTTTAAGATGTGAGGTGAACATCTGCTGCTGCTTTCAGTAGTATTGCAATAAATATCATGTAAAATGGCATTGAAACTCACATTATTAGCATTTAACACTGAATAAAGAACATGAGGTGTACCTGAGGTGATCATTGTAATTTATCTTCTTGTTCTGTTTCTAAATTATAAATTTCAGGAGTTGGTTGGAACAAAAATTTATATGGAAAATATTCCTTCAATCCCATGCCGTTGCTTTTATTTATTCAGCCTTTAGGCATACAATTCTGTTGATGTCGTCAATCTGGCAACCTGACACTGCTTGTGTTTTAAACCAGGCATGCAATACCTAGTCCAACCACTGGGTTTAAAACTTACATACTGCACCTTCAAAAATGTTTGAATTCTCACTGCACTGTAAATGAATGGCGAGAGTGGCTTGGCAATCACATTGCATTTTAATGTCAAGACCTTCGTTTCCATTAAACACTTATTTCATTATTCATTATTTCTTCTCAACACAGATATTTACAAAGCAAACACTTTTTGTTTTTGTGGAGGAGTTAACCGATGGTATCTTCCCAGGGCCTTTTCTTGCCTTGATTTGGATTGCTTGGTTTTCCTGTTGACATCGGTGCTGCTGACTGCTGAAGGGGGTTGTGGGTAAAAGTTTGCCTCAGGGGACCTTGGAAAGTGATGGGATAAATGAAAATTGTGATTAGAGGAAAAAAAACGTAGGACCCAATATTGTGATCAATGATCATAGCTGGGAAATAATGCTGAAAAAAACATGAAGGGGCCATGAATTGAGAAAATGGTACTTCTGTTGACCTACTGACTTACACTCACTGGCAACTTTATTAAGTACACCTGTCCAACCGCACATTAAAGCAAAATTCAGTCAATCACATGGCAGCAACTCAATGCATTTAGGCATGTAGACATGGTTGATCGGCTGCAGTTCAAACTGAGCATCAGAATAAAGAAGAAAGCTGATTTAAGTGACTTTGAACATGGCATGATTGTTGGTCCCAGACAAGCTGGTCTGAGTATTTCAGAAACTGCAGATTTACTGGGATTTTCACACACAACCATCTCTAGTGTTTACAGAGAATAATAAGAAAAAGAGAAAATATCCAGTGAGTGGCAGTTCTGTTGGCGCAAATGCCTTGTTGACGCCAGAGCTCAGAGGAGAATGGCCAGACTGGTTCGAGCTGATAGAAAGGCAACAGTTACTCAAATAACCACTCGTTACAACCGAGGTCTGCAAAAGAGCATCTCTGAATGCACAACACATCCAACCTTGAGGCAGATGGGCTACAGCAGCAGAAGACCACACTGGGTGCCACTCCTGTCAGCTAAAAACAGGAAAGTGAGAGTACAATTCGCACAGCCTCACCATAACTGGACAAAAGAAGATTGGACAAACGTCGCCTGGTCTAGATTTCTTCTGCAACATTTGGATGGTAGGTTCAGAATTTGGCATCAACAACATGAAAGCATGGATCCAATGTGCCTTGTATCAATGGTTCAGGCTGGTGGTTGTGCTGTAATGGTTTGGGGGATATTTTCTTGGTCCACGTTGGGTCCATTAATACCAATTGAGCGTTGTGTGAACGCCACAGCCTACCTGAGTATTGTTGCTGACCATGTCCATACCTTTATGACCACAGTGTACCCATCTTCTGATGGCTACTTTCAGCAGGATAATGCGCCATGTCATAAAGCGTGAATCATCTCAAACTGGTTTCTTGAACATGACAATGAGCTCACTGTACTCAAATGGCCTCCACAGTCACTAGACTGGACCATCTTTGGGATGTGGTGGAACGGAGATTCTCATCATGGATGTGCAGCCGACAAGTCTACATCAACTGCATGGTGCCATCATGAAGAATATTTCCAGCACCTCTGTGAATCTATGCCACAAAGGATTAAGGCAGTTCTGAAGGTAAAAGTAGGTCTAACCTGGTACTAGTAAGGTGTACCTAATAAAGAGGCCGGTGAGTATATACTAATGAATGTCCGATTAGGTAAATGTCTAATTATAAACTTTGACACCAGTGAGGTAGAACGTACATGTCATTGTAAAATGGCTTCAACGTTATTCGTGAATTTGTAAATATTGCAAAAAAAAAAAAAACAATTATGGAGGTCATGTACAAATATTGCACGATAAGTTGACATATTGATTGTTGTGACAGGTCTAATCTGAGATACTTTTATTTTTAAACTTTAATTTGCAAGCCTGGCTAACATAGCTTGCCATGTCTATACCGTGCTTTATGTAAATGACCCATAACTGTTATTATTATAACAAGGTCCAACTGCATCTGTTATTACAGACCGTTATTGAATATTTAAGTGTTTTTAAACTAAATCACAGCAGTGTCCATCGATGAAGAAAGAAGACTGTCAAACAAACATGCAGCAGTTTACATTAGTGGCCACGCAGTTATCCATTTGAACTTTGTGACATCACCTTAAAAGCTAAATGTTTACATATGCTGTTAACCAATCATAGCAGTGGCCACTTATTTTTAGGTCTAAAATCCACCAAACCTATTCAATTGGTCTGTTCCAATGAGGGACCAAAATTAATCAAATTAATCATTAAAAATGTATTACAGTTACACAAAATGATCCAAAAAGTAGCATATTTGATACTGAAATGTTTCGTAACCAATAAATCAGCATATTGGAATGATTTCTGAGGGATCACGTGACACTGAAAATGAAGTAAATGATTCTGAAAACTCAATTTCCTTTTTTTCTACCTTGTATTTCATTCATAACTCATAAATGGAGGTTTGATTGGCATAATGGACTTCTATCAGAGAATCTTCTAAAGGTAGAGTAGGCACTAAAAGGCTCACTAGGTTATGAAACAGAAGTATAAAGTAAAGCCTCACCTTTGGCTGCAATATCGAGGTGTCCTTTAATTCTCCTTTCTCTCTCCTCCAGCTGCTGAGCCAACTGGGCATTCTTCCATCCTGAGGTAAACAGATTCAGGATCATTATATAGAGAACATAACACAGGCAAAACCCTAAAACAAGGCAAAAAGATTCATATACAGAACAGTCCGTTTACTGTTAAACTATTATGAAAGAGGAATAACACAATGTCTGCAATGGAAACAAACTTAAAAGGTCACTACTTTGCAGAACCATTTATATATTCATTGCGTTTTCCTGGAAAAAGTGTGAACGGCTTTGTCATGAAGCATTGTGACTTTCTCTTCACTGTAAAGTCATGCAAAAAAAAAGGAATTAATTTAAACAATGGTATCTCATAGGTGATTGTATATAGTCTTCAGGGTCAAATATACTTTATGGTCAATCTATCATAACAGTGTAATTTTAATGACCTCTTCTGTTGAGCTGATTTACATTTAGCACACAATTTTATCTAAAGCAACGTACAAATGAGGATGATAGAATAACTTCAGGTCACCAGTGATTGGCAGATGCTAGCGATTGGCATACTTCATATAAAAAATATTTATATCCTACAATCAAATGCTTTCTTAACTGCAGATTTCTCATTGTTGTCTTTTTTTATTTTTATTTTGTTATTAAAACAAAAGAGCAATGCCCTCAAGCGATGCTTGCTGCCTGCAGTTCAGTTAATGGCCACCGGGTTACCAGTCACCTCACTAATAGGAGGGATTTTTTAATTCTACATAAAGCGCTTTATAGTGCATCCTGAAAGTATTCATAGTGCTTCACTTTTTACAATTTTTTTATGTTACAGTCTTATTCCAAAATGGATTACATTGATTTATTTACTCACAATTCTACACACAATATCCCATAATAATAATGTGAAAAGATTTTTTTTTTTTTAAATATTGCAAATTTATTAAAAATTAAAAACCTGGAAAAAAAATAATCACATGTACAGAAGTATTTACAGCCTTTGCCGTGAAGCTCTAAATGGAGCTTGGGTACATTCTGTTTCCACTGATCATTCCTGAGATGTTTCAGCAGCTTAATTGGAGTTCACCTGGGGTAAATTCAGTTGATTGGACATGATTTGAAAAGGTATACACCTGTCTATAGAAGGTCCCAGAGTTGACAGTGCAAGTCAAATGTACTGGATGTTTTTCAGCAGCAGGAACTGGAAGACTAGTCAGGATAGAGGGAAAGATGAATGCAGAAATGTACAGAGACATCCCTAATGAAAACCTGCTTCAGAGTGCTCTTGACCTCAGACTGGGGTGACGATTCATCTTCCAGCAGGACAATGTCCCAAAGCGCACCGCCAAAATATCAATGGCTTCACAACAACTTGGTGAATGTCCTTGAGTGGCCCAGCAAGAGTCCAGACCTAAATCCTATTGAACATCTCTAGAGAGATCTGAAAATGGCTGTACATTGTCGCTTCCCATCCAACCTGACAGAGCTTGAGAGGTACTGCAAAGAGGAATGGGCAAAATTCCCAAAGACAGCTGTGCCAAGCCTGTGGCATCATATTCAAAAAGACTTGAGGCTGTAATTGCTGCCAAAGGTGCATCAACAAAGTATTGAGCAAAGGCTGTGAATACTGATGTACATGCAATTTTTCAGGGTTTTTATTATTAATAAACTTGCAACAGTTAAAAAAAATATTTTTTCACATTGTCATTATGGGGTACTGTGTGTAGAATGTTGAGGAAATAAATTAATTGAATCCATTTTGGAATAAGACTGTAACATAAAAAAATGTGGAAAAAGTGAAGCGCTGTGAATACTTTTCAGATGGAGTACTAAAACTGAATAATTCAATATAAAACAATAAATCAGATGATAAACCAGATCTTGAGTTTGTCCATTTCACCTTTCTTGACGGTTGCAAAGAACCCTTCATTTTCAGGCAGCGCTGACTGTGGATGTACGATGCGTTCTGGGATGCGCAGCTTTTGTCTCACGGCTGGGTGCCTCAACACGGCCACCTGAGCCAGTGAGAAGAGGTTAGAGGTCATCCAGTAGGTAAACACCGCCTGCAAAACACACAGATCAGATAGCACTCGTGGAAATCCTCACAGCATGACAAGAGAAGACAGATTTCAGTGCAAACACTGTGTGGCAGTTACATGCTGAAATACAGACAGACAAATAAAAGACTTACCGTGGGGAAGTTAATGGTCAGGGGGAGGATCACAAAGGGCATGATCCTGAAGACGGTCTTCATGGCCCTCAGATTGGGGTTATCGACTCCAGATTCAGCTCCCAACTAAAAAAATCAAAAACAAAACACACCTTATAGACATAGTATATGTGATGTCACCAATCACATATTGTAATCCAGGTATAACACAGTATGACAACGCTTCAGATGACTGTTCTAAAGATTACAGCAAATCAATCTGTCAGATTCTGGAGTGCATTACAGCTCTAAAGAAAATTATAAATTATCTTAAAACAAACACATTTATAGAGATGATATACAATTATGTAAGAATTTCACCTACAAGGAAATGGAGAACACTTGACTGGTTTGTGAGCACAATTAAGTGCACAAATCCTGCCACATTATCTGGTAATTGTAAGAAATAATTCCAAAAGGCAATTGACTGTAAAGCCACATAAAACAACACAAAAATATGATGTATATGCCGAGTTCAGCGACTAATCAGCCGGAATCAGCTGAGGTGAAGTGATGGCGACCAACGAGACCTAGCTGTCACTGAAGTGGCCACGCCCTTAGTTATACAGACTTAATATAAATCAATATACACAAAACAGATGAGTTATTAAAAAATTTAACCAGTCACAGTTGTCATGAAGGGTAATATTAGCTATATGAACCAAAATCGTTTCTTGTACCAGGCTGTAAACACCTTTTTTTTCTGCTGTAAAGTTGGACATTTTAACACTGAAGTCAATAGAAATGTGCACTATTTTGGAGCCAGGCCTAGTGGAATTTCAATGAACTACAGTTTCAGTTACTTCTGTATTAGCTTGACGAGGGAGAGCGGGATGTTGCCGCTTGATCCGAAATATACAATTATAAAAGACCTGTTACACCAAGAATGACAACTAAAAAAACTAAAGAAAACTACAAAAAAAAAAAAAACAATATTAGCACAAATGCACAATAATATTGTTTATTTTAAGCTAGCGCTGCGGTTTTGTTGCCTGCCACTTTAGGTACTGTTCACATATCTTGTCTTTAACCTTGTAAAAAAAAAAAAAAAAAGGCACTCTGCTTTCTCCACCAATTTCAACCATGATTTTAACATGCTCATTATTGTCTTTTATAATGTAATTTTTAAAAATAAAAGTAGTCTTAGAGTAAATTTTATCCCCTATTACAATATGCGTTTATCATATTGAAAATGAGCAGTTTTTAAATAAAAAAATAAAATAAAAATCACACTTTTACCTCTAAGATGGCAACCATGGTGCCCGTCACTGCAATAGGGAGAATGTAAAAAGGGTCTGCTGCTGTTAAGTCTGTGAACCACCAGAGGCCGCCAGTCTGCAAACTTGGCACAGGGAGTTCAGACATCTTTCGCAAGGCGATAAAGAAAGAGAGGAAGATTGGGGCCTGAAAAGGAAGATGATATGAGAATTAAACAGCAGCTCATCAATAACGCTATCTGATCTTGATACCTAAACAGTGATCAGATAGTCATAACAGTATTATTAATAAAATCATAAAGTTTCTTACCTGTACCAAAGGTACAAGGAACCCACGAAAAGGGTTCACATCCTTCTTCTTCTGAAACATCATTAAATCAGTGTACGCCTTTGAAACTGAAGAAAGAAAATGTGTCCATTAAAGACAATAAGGAAAGGAACAGAAGTACAGAAAAAAAGAAATGAGGTTAAAAAAAAAAAAGACCAAAATCATATGAAGAGAAAATATGCGACTCTTACATTCAAATTTGTTACCGCTCTGCTTGGCCTCATTCATGCGGTTGGTGAGTTTTGTCATTTCCGGCATGACATTGTTTAGTTTGGCTGCTTCTCTCTGTCCCTTTACAATGACTGGAAACACAGCACACCGAGCAACAATGGTGCCTGAGAAAAACAGACAAAGTTATGGTCATTAATTAATAACAACATTGAAAAATACACAAAGTTTTACGCTGTATTTTCATTGATCAGGGCACAAGTAGATGAGTAAGACACATTCTTATTAACACCTGGGACTGGGTTTTTACTATATGGCTAATTCTTAAAGGCTAGTCTAAGTGCTCTATGGGCACTGTTGCTTTAAACTATCACATTTGTACAGTTCAGGGGTCGGTTGCACCAGCAGTGCGCAAGTTAAAATGTAGCGTAGTTGTGAGACTAAGTGAGACTAAGTTACAACTTACACATTACTAAGTATTTTTGAGTTGCACTGCTCAACTTAGTTTAAACGTAACATTACGCTCCAGCTAAATATTTATGGCAGCCTCTCCCCATGTATAACGGTAGAAAAGGGATGACAACGAGATTAGCTTACATTGAGTAACTCACAATGATGATGATGAATGATCTTCCTCTACTCACAGTCTTAGTTTTCTCCCAAATCTCGCATTTATTTTCTTTTGTAAAAGAAGAGTTTAATTTTCTTAAAGGAATTGTTTTGTGATAATTGTATCAATTAAAACAAGAATGTCTTCATGACTGAGTTTTTCTTTCTGCTCTTTTCTCTTTCATGTATAACATGTATATGTATACGTTTCATATAAAACAAATCAAGTTTAATGTTTTAATAACGTCACGTGTATTTTGAGTGCATTAATGGCTTGCGATGCAGCATCGTCTGTTATTATTGACTGACTATAATTTAATGTGTCATAAAAAGTATTTTTCATTTAATTTTTATAGGACAGTTACATATAGATGCATTAGTTGCAGTATGTCAAAGCAGTTTACCGATTTAAATGCTGTTTATCGGATGACATCGTTCAATGTGACTACGACCTACTAACTACGGTTTCCCTTAAGAACATGTGGTGCAACCGAAGTAAGAACAAATTTAGTTAGAAACTAGGTAGTAGTTACTAAACCCCTATTGTGGACTTTACTTTCCAGTTTAAGAAAGAATTTACGATCAGCTGGTGCAACCCTACCCTGGTCACTTTCCTATTTTTTATTTATTTATTTTATTTATTTATTTTTTTCTAAATGGTCTATGGATGGGTAAATTTATAGATCTTTTGTAGTCTTTAAAAATAAAGTTGCAAAATAAGCTTACAAAATCCAGATAAATACATGACAGAAGACGATGGAAAATTTATTTCAGAGATCAGATTTTCAAAGCTCTGCCACAAAACTACACTGCTTTTTACATTCATTCCCCTTCAATACAAATGTATTATTTGAGATGGGCTCAAAATATCATCTGGTTTCAACCCATCCCACTTTGAGTTTTGGGTGAACTATACCTTAAATACTAAGAGCAACATTTTACCTGCAACTATGGCTCCCCACCATGGCAGCCCGATGCTGACGTGCATGAACTCCAGCAGATTTTGGATCAGACCCACAGGTGTGGAGTTGCACAGCCCAAGTTCTGATAGGCTGGCTTCAGCTCCGACTCCCTGGAGAACATCCAACGCAGTAAGAGGAGCCTCGGCTACCTGCTCTGTGATTTGTGGTGTGACTGAGGGGGTGGGGTCAACTGCAGGAGCTGGAATGGAGGCTGGAGCAGAAATGGCAGCATCTGGAGGTTCACTTGGAGTCGATACTCTTTGAACCGTCGTTTCTACTGTCTGTAAAACAAGCAAAATATTTCAGCAATTGAAATGAATCTCAGAAGTCATTTTAAAAAAAAGAAGTTTTGAACAAGTGCTTAAATGCATGCCTGTGCAATGTAAAACAATACAACTCAAACTACAGTGCAGTAAAACTGAAAAAGGCACTCTAGGAAAACTCCCACCTGTGAACTGTTGTGTCTGATTCCCACAGCATTGACCAGTAGGAACTGACCATGATTTTGGCACCCAAGAAGTGCTCTAACTAGACCCCGATTTCCTTTGCCAGTGTGGAGGTGTGATCTTTGTACAAACCACTGCAACAAAAGAGATTGAAAAAAAATATTTTACATTTATTCAAACACACTTTTAAATAAAAAACATCACAAGCAATTTAATGCTTGGTAAATAACAAGGAAAAAAAACTCTCCCCACACCCTGCATGAATAACTTTTTTTTTATTGAATCATAAACTGAATGTTATTTAATTAATTTATCTACACACACTCTCCCAGCTTCTGTTATATATATATATATATATATATATATATATATATATATATATATATATATATATATATATATATATATATATATATATATATATATATATATATATATATATATATTTTTTTTTTTTTTTTTTTGCAACATTAACTTAATTGTTAAAAGCAAATATAAGGTACAAAATGGATTTAGAGTGCTTTCACACCCAGACATTTGTTCCCGAACCTGGCACGCTTGCCTCCTTAGCCCAGTTTGTTTGGTGTATGTGAATTCAGCAATAACACTCTGATCTGCCCCAAAACAATCAGTCCGAGATCGCCTGAATGAGATGGTCTCGGCTCGATTAAAACGAACTCTGAAGTGGATCGATTGTAGTGAGAGAGCAATACGATCCAACGAACCAGACTATATCAGTGTATTATGAATATGTAATATATACACGACTATATGAAGAGAGAATTATTAGGGTGGGATGTCATTCCAACCAGTAAATGTGTGTTTCAAGTCAAATACGAATGTGAATTATTAACTATTATCGAGAGCTGTTTATCCATTAGAAAAAATGATCGAACTGCAACGTGCATCGTGGTTTATCTGTTATTTCTCTCTATAATGTAGATCATATAATGCATAATTCTAGCCAACGGCTCTGTATGAGAAAGTCTTACCTCTGATTTATATTTGGTGATGATGTCTGCGAGTGTCATCATTCAAAATTAAAGTGCAGCTTTTCGCTTATAATGTCTTATTGCTTAAAATAAGGATGCATGACAGCTGAGCTAGACTTTGAAAAATAAACAGTGAAACTCTGACCAATGTGAGGAGAATTTTCTTGCACGTGACTTGTTTTAGCTATTTTGGTCCGATTAGAAACTTTGTTGTGTGAAACGAACCGCACCAAGAACAACAAGCAACATTGTTACTATTTTACTCCCCGTTTCGGAACTAAACAGTTGATCTATAAATGAATTATGTTTGTAAACATTCAGGATGCGCGCGCAGGGAGGTGGCAGAAAAAAAATGGAAGCACGAGCATTTACAGTGAGGGAATGACATCAGATGCGGTACAGAGTTTGTTGTTGTCTTAGAAAAGATATATTGATTACATATTATATATATTATTTACATAATGCTTTCAGCGTATTATAACAGCTCATCACCCAGTAATAAGCACAGTGATTCGGCAAAATTAACGTTAAAGTATATAGCGTTCCTCTGATAGGTCCATTTGCGATAGCACCCTCCCAGTGAATACTGAATAAGACGAAATGACCAAGCATCCAGTCAGAAATATTCAATCTCATTAAAGCTTCAAGTGATTTTACAAAAGAGCCACCATTTTTGTTCTGCATGGTCATGTGCAAGAAATAACGCACAACACGACATGTTTGCTATTGCAGCCTGTCTTTTTTTGCAACCGGGGACTCGTGTGACATCATGTGTGACGTAGGTTGGTAATTCGTCTATAGGTGTGAAAGCAGCCTAATATACAGGCAGAGGTGAAATGTAACAAAGAGGAGTAAGCCTCAAAACTTTGTGCATTTCTGCATGTGCCTTACAAAGGTGAGTGGGCTTGACAAACCACCCGAAAACACACTCTTTCATCTAGTTGACAATTCAACTGACACACCAGTTTTGCACCAGACACTTTCTTACAATCACTCAACATCTCCAAAAAAAACCACCAACTTACTCTAGCACGTAATTTTCTAAGCACAAACAGTTCCCTTGAATAATTAGCACTTGTGTTCATTGCATCTTCTCATTGAATTGCTAAAACAGTTTTTTAGTTGCTGACAGTCATATGTGTGTCCCACGTTGCTAAAAACACTATTAGGAAACATGTATTTAGCTAACAAGTGAAAATTGGTTGGTTTTGCATTGTTTTGAGCAAATTCGTTTTTCCGGATTGAAAAGAAATTTTGAAGCTACGTCACGGCCATGAAATCCTTGGATGTCTGTACCGGTCAGTACAAAGTGACGTCATTGAGTTTTCAACAAAATCATCAGCTAAATGTAAAAGTGAGAAGGATAAATAAATAATGAATAAATTAGTTAATTAATCAATGTTTAAGACTATTGTGCAGAGGCCCCTACATATATCAATATAAATAAAACTATACAGCAGAAACTGGAAGAGTAAGTATAGATAAATTAATTAAATAAAATATATTTTGTGATTGCAGGGATTTTGAGAAGTCTGCTAATAAAAACAGTTATTTACGGGGGAGTTTTGGTTTTATATTCACACATTCAGACTTTCGCCTTAATAATAAAATTTCAGAAAAGTGTTCTTTGTGATTTCTAAATCATGAAGTCATATTAGCAGCCAGTGACAATCAAAGTACAGCACTGTTCACAGTCAAATAATTAGTTGTTTTGAAGTCATACTAACATGTGATTTCAGACCGAATATTCAAAGTTCAATGGTAAGCAATAGGGAGCATGTCACAAGTTGTCACTGAATGAATATGCAAATACAAAACCAACTTTACATCAAACACGAGTACCCCCTAAACCACGCAAATATAGTTTTGGCAGCACATCCTGACAGCTATGTAGCATCATTTTCCAGCACACAGACTCTCATGCACACACAACCTCGGCTATGCTACTTAGCTTTTGTCAAAGTCATGTCATCGAAACCACTACGCTTTCGCGCATTCTGGAGAACTGAAAAACAAAATACAAATTGCCACTCACCTCATTTCGCGTCAGAACAATAGGAAGTGTGGAAACGCTTGGCGTACTTGTTTGTCGAAAAATACATGTTGTAAGACATTCTGTGACCACTCTGCCCCTGAGCGCAGCCATCTTGAAATGAACAACACATTGTACGGTGAGCGCAAAGGGACAGTGTTCCTGCTCCGCCCACTTTCAAATAAAACCTTCTGCACCAACTCCCTGATATCATTTTAACTTATATGTTTGACTGAGGACGACGTCAGGGAGATAAGGGCAGAATCGTCGTTTAGCGCTTTAGTATATACTTTGGGGAAAATATATAGCTTATAACATTACACGCATATTATTAAAATTTAAACGAAAAAATGACGGAAGAGGTGAACTGGGATGAAGATTTGGAAGTAGACGCCGTCGTTCAAAATCTTAGTAATGTGACATTTTACACTTACTTTTAGTTTTTTTTTCCTCTTCTCATTTTAGACTTGTATAAGACTGTAATGCGTAATGATAAAAGAAAAAAAAAAAGTGATTTATTGAATACAATTAAAATAACAACAGCAAAACCAAAAGTGAAACTGATTAACATACTTATAAGAGGAAGTTTTTTTTTTTTTTGAAAATAAGTAAAATAAATAAATAAATAAATACATTTAATTAAAACAGTCATTGCTTTTGACATCTAGGTATCCATAGATATATGAGAGATTCCAATTCTGAAGTGCAACTATCAAATGAATTAGTGGACTTTGGTAAGTTGGCCTCAGATTTCTGACAAAAATTTGTATTTGAAAAGTGTGAAATTTGTTTATGTTTATGTGTGTATTCAATTAAGATGTTAAATGTTTTTTTTTATCAGTTGAATTAACCTGTGGTCACCGAATGCCAGTAGACTATGTTGTTGCTTGGTTCAAATGTTACCTGAAACAGGTTGGTCCCAAATAAACTGCATTTCATTGAAATTTATACCTGTGCTGCCATGTAATGTTCAACTGCCTCTTGTCTTTTTAAGAAAGAAACAGACTTTTCCTGCCCACATTTTATTGTGGATCAAGGGAAAACCTGCGGTGCAAAGCTGTCTTACCAGGAGATCTGTCAGTTGATACCACTGTCTGATAAACAACGTGAATTCTTAGAGGAAAACCTTGCTGCGATTGTTGCTAGAAGACTGTTTGATTTTAAATCTGTAAGATTTTGATTGAATCTGATTTGTTTTGCATGCATGTGGCCCTCTACACAACAGTCTAAATGCATATGTTTGTCATCGCTTCAGTGTCCTGGATGTCAGTCTCATGTGGAAAGACGAAATCGAAATAACCTGTGTGTAAAGTGCACTATCTGTACTGCCAACATGACACAGACCTACTATTTCTGCTGGAAATGCCGAAGAGAATGGAAAGGGGTGACAAATAATGCTGAATGTTGTGGCAATACTGGCTGTGGACAGAGCGTGGTAAATAAGATTTTAATTTGAATGAATTACTTGGGTGAATTAAAGTATGCTTTATCTGACCACATATTATGATTGTTTTTGCATCTGAACAGACAGAGCCAGATCCACTGAAGCCATGCACACCCGAGTTCAAAGCGGAAAAGCTTATGACAGAGGGGAAATGTGTAAGTTATACTGTATACTTTATATCATGACAACTGAAATTGTCCAGCAGCCTGCAATATAAAATTAGAAAAAAATATATAACAAAATGCTAAAATTGGAACAAATAAAAACATTTCCAATATTGTGGTAATTGATATATTATTGCATTTTTAGTAGCACTTCAAAAAAGTTTTCTTTTGATGAAACCTTTTTCTGTTTATTTATTTTTTTTAAACATGATCTAACAACGAGCAAGAATTTATTTACAGGATTCATCTACAGCATTTGTGAATTTCAGTCAATGCCACATTTAGGAATAATAATAATAATTTAATAGACCCCATTTTGAAAATGAACATTTGTATCTATTTCTCATTGAATATAGGTAATGTATTTTAGTGCATTTAAAGAAGAAATATTTATTAAACATTCATTCATTCATTCCTTCATTTTCTTGTCGGCTTAGTCCCCTTATTAATCTGGGGTCGACACAGCAGAATCAACCGCCAACTTATCCAGCACTTTTTTACACCTTCTTGCTGTGAGGCGACAGCACTACCTACTGCGCCACTGCATTGCCCATATATATATATATATATATAGTCAAATGTTATATATATATATATATATGCACATACATACATACACAGTTAAAGTCAGAATTATTAGCCCCCCTTTGATTTTTTATTTTTTTTATTTTATTTATTTTTTTTTATATTTCCCAAGTGATGTTTAACAGAGCAAGGAAATTTTGACAGTGTGTCTGATAATAATATTTTTTCTTCTGGAGAAAGTCTCATTTGTTTTATTTCGGCTAAAGTAAAAGCAGCTTTAATTTTTTTTTAAACTATTTTAAGGTCAATATTATTAGCCTCTTTAAGCTATTTTTTCGATAGTCTACAGAACAAACCATCATTAAACAATAACTTGCCTAATTACCCTATTCTGCCTAGTTAACCTAATTAACCTAGTTAAGCCTTTAAATGTCACTTTAAGCTGTATAGAAGTGTCTTAAAAAAAGTCTAGTCAAATGTTATTTACTGTCATCATGACAAAGATAAAATAAATCAGTTATTAGAAATAGATTATTAAAACTATTATGTTTAGAAATGAAAAAAATCTTCTCTTCGTTGAATAGAAATTGGAGAAAAAATAAATAGGGGAGCTAATAATTCAGGGGGAGGCTAATAATTCTGACTTCAACTGTGTTTGTGTGTGTGTATGTATATATATATATATATATATATATATGCTAATAATAGTATCCTACTAATAATATTATCCTAATATTATTTGTTAATTCTACTATAAACAAATGTAAGGTGTTGCATAATTTTATTATTTTTTAGATGCTGATAAAATGTTTGTCAATAATTTTTCCTTCTCTCTGTGAAGATTTACCCTGTGAAAGACAAATCACCTCAAAGAAAGCGTTTGGCGCTGCTCATAAACAATGTAGATTTTAAAGATAACGTCAGGACTGGGGCAGACAAGGATGAGCTGAGTATGGAGAGGCTGCTTAAAGGTTTGGGATACTCTGTGGTGACACTCAGAGACCTCTCTGCACAGGTGCATACACATTTATTTGTTCAAAATATTCACATTTGTTTGGCTTTCTTTTAAAACATGATGTATATTGATGGTCTGATGCTTAGGGTATGTCTACTGCCATGCGAGACTTTTCCCAGCGAAAGGAACACGCTGATTCGGACAGCTGCTTTGTGGTATTAATGTCCCATGGAGATGAAAGTGGGATCTGTGGGATTTTTGATTCTTCTTCTCAAGATGACGTTTTTCCACCAGATGAAATTTTTAAGTACTTGAACACACCAAACTGTGCTGGGTTGCGGGACAAGCCAAAAATCATCCTTATCCAGTCATGTAGGGGCGGTAAGTCAAAAAGCATACAAAAAAGGTGTATTAAGAATATATACATTGCAAATTTGATTAAATGTTCCGGACAATATGCTTTACCAGGTAAACCTGGCAATGTGGATGTTCCAGATAGTGTGCCAATACGTGGCACAAGAAGAGAGCATAAAGAAAAAGATTTCTGTTGCTTTAGATCTTCTACTCCAGGTAAATAATATTTCTGGACCAAATTTCACCAGGTTTACTACTTTATTACTTCATGATACACACACATTGACATGCATACACTGATGCTGACTTCTGGTTGATATTTATTTCAAAGTGTTACAATTCCTGTAATGTATGTCATAATTTGCATTCGTTCCACAGATACTGTGTCCTACAGGAACAAAGAAAAAGGCTCACATTTCATCCAAGACCTTGTGGAAATTTTTAATCGGCATGCCCATGAGGACGATATTGAGGAGCTCTTCAGAAAGGCAAAGTCACATTTAATATTTTTTTTAATAAGGATTATTTAGCAAGACACAGATCAATCTGCAGACATCATTGTGTGTGCAGAAATCAGTGGCTGATTTAGTTTTGAATGGATGCTATTTATTTGTTGATTAAAATATTTTTAACATTTTGAACTTGTTAGTAACATTAAAAAGGTCTGGAATTAGTTAAACATTTAGTTAATCAATTGAACATTTTAGATTTTTATGATTAGTTAATTTTGTTCTAATCTTTACTTACGTTTTTTTAAACAGGTTATTATGAAGTTTAGGGAGACACATGATGAGCAAATGCCATGCAAAGAAAGAACAACATTATGTAAAAAGTTCTACCTCTTTCCTGGATTGTAAATCATAGCAAGTGCAATATATATCTGCTTTCCTGTATGCATATCCATATATTCATTTCTTTTCTTTACTCTAATGTTATTGACATTTAATGCATTTGTATGTTTACCAAAAACATCAAGAAAGTAATCCACTGGATTTTAAAATTCTGTTTGACACTATTTTATTCGTTACAAATGTTTATTGTTTTATTATTAGATTGTATATTTAAAATTACCAAACAAAAATGTTTACATCACAAGTTAGCATGATACACTGTATGTTGACTTGTTTGTTTGCTTGGTCTGCCAATGTGGTATGCATTTCTTGTAACCGCTTGTGTCATTTATTGTAACTGAATTTCCTGAACTGCAAAACAGAAACCAAAACTGAACCCTGAAGTAGACCTTCGCTGTAGGAAACCTGGGAGTGTTCTCTGTTTTTGTTTCTTTTTACAGATAGAATGAGGTTTTTATGTTTATGATATGGAACATCTAAGTTAAAAATTAACACAAGTCTTTCTCAAATAAACCTCCATATGCATCTGAAATAAAGCTTTCTCAGCTCACTGGACATTTGATGGTTTTATAGTCTTTGTGTTTATGTTTTATTGTCTTTTGTGGCCTTTTCCACCAGGAAATAAAAAGTATGGCCAAAAGGTCAAAATTATGACTTTAAAAAAAGGCCAAATTAAGATGAAATAAATCAAAATAATGGCAAAGTTACAATTATGATTTTAAAATGACAATGTTACGTCAATAGGTGACGACAACAATCTAAATGTGTCACTTCATTCTTTAAAAATGACGAATCTAATGAAAACAAATCTTTATGACTTTGAATGACCAACTTAAATTGAGATAGAAAATTCATATAATATAAAAATTATATAATACAAAACAATTTTGAGTTATTAAAAAATAAGTTTATAAAACATTTTATTTCTTAAATGTCACTGTTTCAACTTTCTTGCTTGTAATTTTGACATAGTAGGTCATAATTTTGACATACTAAGTTAGAATTTCGAGTTTTTAAGACATGATTTTATTTCCTTGTTGAAACAGGCTTTCATAACACATCTAGTTGGTCTAATTGTGGGCTATATTGGATGTATATGATAAAGGGTTAATTATTTGATTTTCCTAATTGTTTTCTTTTGTTTCCTATCGTTCAGCCATGATGATATGAATTAGACAAATATAAATGTCAGGGCAATGCAAAATTTATCCATGTCATGTGAGTTGAATGTCATTGTAAAAGCATATTATTATAAATGTTACAAGTAAATCAGTATATAAATCGGTATGCATTTATTACAAATTAATTTTAGTATGTGATTTTTTTTAAAGTGTATAAATGACAATATAGCATTACCTTTAGCCCCATTTGTTGCAGCTTAATTTTTACACATTCTTTTTGGTGAATTATAATAGACATTTTTATATTAGCTTAGTTTACCATTCTTGAATATGAGAAAAAAATATATGAAACACAAAAACCCAGCACTTTCAATCATTTATTAATATCCAAAATCCAAAAAGACTAGGCAGCACAAAACATTCAATGATTCACCACAATCAAATAGCTTTCGTTTTTTTCTCATTACCTTTTGTGTGATTTTTTTTCCTTATTTTTGACAATTTGTCTGTGAGACCAATGTCTTTTATTCTCTTTTAATTCTATTTTTTAACAGCTTTTTTATATGAAGGTGTACTGGTCCTCTGAACTTTTTACTTTTTGTACAAATCTTACAATTTTTGTGTGGAAATGCGATAGCTTCTTCTAGTGGCATCATTTTGCTCAGTTTTTTAAGCAGTTCTGAGGTATAACTGTGACCATCTGAGTTATCAATGACATGATATCTGCCCTGACAACAACGAACCACTTGACGAAGCTTCCTATGTTTTGAAATAAATTCATCGATGGTCTGGCCAAGTTTTGTGAGCTCTCTGCCATTTGTGAAGATGATCGTTATGCGACTTCTGGCTCCTGAATCTAGTTGTTTTCTGAAAGTGTGAAACAGACCTTGCTGATGTTCGGTGAATTTAGAGATCGGTATTATCCAGAGGATCACATTGGGCCCAGGGTCAGATAACTTAACACACTTCTCTATTTCCTCAGCCCAACTCAATTTATTGAGGCAAAAGAGATTTGGGGTGTCCACCACAGTGACCTTTTCCACTGTCTTTACCATGCACTCTTTAGTCACAGTTTCTGATCCACTTCTGCAAGGAAAGTAATCTCCACCAAGGATGATGTTGCCTACTGTACTCTTCCCAGATCTGGAAGGCCCGGTCAGAAGGATCCTCAGAGGACGAGAAAAACTGCCTGGACTGAAAACTTTAGAAGAAAGCACAAACAATTTAAAGATGTAGTCACTGTGACATTGACATAAAGAAACCTGTTAAAATCCTACCTTTTTTTCTGTACAACAGCATGTAGGGTAGGCTTGAGCTGTCAAAAGACAAAAAAAAAAAAAACTGATTTAAATGCTAAACACTTTCAACTTTACATTTAATTTACTTTTGCACACTACACTCACTTTTTCAGGGGTGTTTCTGAAGTCTGTAAAATATTGACATGAATATTAAAAGATAAAAATGACAAATAAAAGGAAAAGGGGTCTAAAAATCTCTTAATTCCATAATGGATATCAAACAACCAAATATACAGTACCTCTGTTACACGGCTGTCATCAAAACAGTACCATACTCCATTTTCATAAGATTTAATGATTGCTTCGTAGTGTCCACCACTGTATCTCCCCTTATGGTTGATAACAGCATAAAGTTCATATGAAGGCCTATTGTCCTGCAGAGAAAGATCAGGTTTATTCTACAACCCCAAATCAGAAAAGGTTGGGCCAGTATAAAAAACGCAAATAAAAAAGAAAGTAGTGATTTTTAAATTTACTTTGACTTGTATTTCATTGCAGACAATACAACAAACATTATTCAATGTGATGCTCAAGATTTTTTTTTTTTTATGTATTCAAATTTTGGTTCTTGCAACACATTTCAAAAAAGTTGTGACAAGAGCAATTTAAGGCTAGTAATCAAGTAGATTGGTTAAATAATGGTACAAAAGCAGCATCCAAGAAAGGTCTAGTCCTTAGGAGCAAAGATTGGCCAAGAATCGCCAGTTTGCCAACAAATACGAGAAAATAATTAAAATGTTTTAATACAATGTTCCTCAAAGAAATATAGAAGGATATCTATATTGTAATATTGGAGAAATATGTCATATAACATGCATCCTTTTTCCTTTTTCCCCCTATTTATATATTTGTATTTATTCATTGATTTACTCTGCTCCTTTTATCAATGCTGAATAAATGTTAATTGTTGAGTTGATCTTGTTTAATATATTGTTATAGTATAGTTTCAATATTCTCATGAGTCATGAGACTGAGGCATTTAAAAAAAACTCTAGATGCAACTGACCACTGTTAACCTGATGAAGTCAGCTCTCTGCCGAAACGTGTGGATTTTTTTAGAAATTAGCCATGTGATTAAAGGCTTTTTAATGTATCTTCCACATCTTTTGAGTGCCTTGGACTGATTTTTGTTGATTGTTCTGATGAATCCCTTGCCCAAAGAGCACGAATACGTTATTTGAGCTACCCCAGAGCACTTTTTGTTAGTTTTTTTTAAAGGTTCACGAAACTCTGGAGTACTTTTTTTGAGATTTTAACAGGTTTGTGTTTGTTGAGCAACAAGAGAATGTTAGCACCTGTTGGCTGTAATTGTAAGAACAACTGGATAATTTTGAGCTTTTGTCAGTTTATTTCAGTTTACGGGTTTAAAATGATTTTTGGGGCGGGATCAAAATTGGCGATGTAGCGCAAAACTCCAAGTGCACAGATGACGCATCGGTTTCTCATTATTATCATTAGCGGAGTTTTCCTATCCTATGAGAAGAGCCTGCTACTTAATTATTCATGACTGCATGTGTTTTCCGAAGGCAAGGCAGACCTGCCAGTGCCAAGCTGTGAGACACGAACCCACGGCACACAGTATTAGCCGTTCACAAAGGGTCGTATGTGTTTGTTTCCATGATCTACAGGGTTTGTTGAATGTTTTTCCCTGCGATGCTGTCAGGGCCAATAGAGTGGAGGAACTATGACGTCAATTTGTATGCAAAAACCCGGAAGCGAGTTAGCATTTTAGCAGTTCCGGTTCCCTCGTCCCAAAGTCAATGGGTTTTTTGAATGGGGTTTCAGTAAAATCGCTTAAATAAGGTCTGTGACTAACACCAACTCAATATACTTTCACGTTTTGCTCTACGACATAAAACACATCAGTTACAGCACACTCTTCAACTTTTAAATTGATTATGATTCTTTAAAAAGACGGTTGCTATCAAGTTGCTAAATGAGACTACAGGCGGCGTCGGGGACATTATACGTCATCGAGCTGATCTGGTCTGGAGCGCAGCCCGCTTGTGATGGGCGTTTGGATTTGTTTGTGATTTAGGTATTTTCATGAATAGTATTTTATAGTTTGTTGTATTATTCTAATTGAGAATTCAGATTGTGTGTAGATAATTCCTTCACATGGAAAGACTGTCGAGACAGACTAATTTGTTGATCGTTTATTTTAATTAAACGATATTATGAAAATACTGCTCACCAGTGCAGCCTGTTTCTTTCCTGCTCTCAGTAATGCAAACGTGTGAATAAATGTGTAAAATACATGCATGTTAACAGTCATTTTAACGTGATCAAGTGATTTCTCGTCTTTTTTTCTTCATCTGAACACATTTAACTGCAGTATTTACACTCCTCCATAAAACGTTCAGCAGATGTGACTGTATGGGCTGTTTTTCGCTGTACTTCTTGACAAAAAATGAATATTGAATGTTGCTCTGTGCCCATGATGATGGAACTTGCAGGCATTTGATAGACTTGTTCCTCCTCACGCCTATTTCTGTCGTCTGTTTAAGGTAAGCGGGCTGTGTGCGCGAGCGATACACGTATTTAAATATGTCTCATAATAATACTATATAGGCAGATTTATACACATTTTTAAAACTTTTAGAACAACCGCAAAGCAAAACAGATGTATTTCCCACGTAAAAACAATCCAAAAGGCACAAAGGTCTATGTGTTTTTGCATATTTATTAGTTTATAATATATAGCGTGGATTATAATATAATAAACAGAGAGATTAACTCGTTGTCATGGACATTATTTTTAAAAATAAGCTTGATAAGTTGTCTGTAGCAGGGTGGGGCTGACGTCACAGACGAGCGCCCCGAGGGCACTGTAGTCCGTTTATAGCCTAATGTTAGCTTTTCAAGTCTTGCGTTTGTATTTAAGATCCAAAAGTGCTCAATGTTGTATTTTCGTGTGACAATTATCCGGCTGAACAAAACGTGTAAGTGTAATGAACAGTGTTTGAACACAGAGCTTATTATTCGCAATCTTCGAAAACCCTATGGGAAAATCCTATAGGGATTTTCACGAGGGAACCAATTTTATGCTAGCAGCCGATTAGCCTACAAAGTGACGTCATAGTTCCTCCACTCTATACAGCAAAGCTGTTTGTGTGCAGCAAGCCCAGGAGAGCAGTAGGAGAATTGGAGAATACCGGACGTTGTCTTTTATCATGAGGTTGTTCACATTTAGACACATCCCCGTGCTGCTGTGTTAGCCTAAATCCTCTAGATTACCAACAGGGATAATGGTTAAAATAGACAGGGTAAGAGACCTGCTGCACTGAGTCTGCATTCAGACCTATGATTCAGACCCGGGGATTGAGGGAAAGTCCTCATTGTGTTTATATAAACACGATTATCTTTATAATGATATAATTTGTGGTGATCTGTATATGAATACAAATGACAAATGTAGCAGGGCATTAAATTACTGTTTATTTCTTTGCATTTTAACTCTGTAAACTATAAAATCATGAAAATCGTGGGTCTCTTCACGGTTTGTGTCTCATTTTGTGAGCTAACTGACAACAGTTGTTTGCTCCCCTCCTTCTCCCCTGCTGGCCACGCCCACTCCTGCCCTTTGCTCGCCATCGACTTCTCTGGGCTCAGAGGCATCTGGGATGGACCATCACACAGTGGACCAATGAAGAAAGGGATCATCCAGACGGTTACTACAGACTGGGACAAAATTACACCTGAAACACTTCATCGCTTGGTGTCTTCAGTCCCTAAACATCTTTTAAGTATTGTGAAAAGGATTGGCAACATTTTAAAGTTTTAAATGCTTTACCGTATCAACATTTTTAGACATTGTTATTTATTCTCTCATGTATTTGTTGGCAAACTGTCGATCCTTGGCCCATACTTGCTCCTGAAGGACTAGACCTTTCTTGTATGTCGCTTTTGTACCATTATTTAACCAATTGCTCTTGTCCCAACTTTTTTGAAATGTGTTGCAATAACCAAAATTGGAATAAAAAACCCTATAATAATCATCACATTAAATAATTTTTGTTATTTAGAAATCACAACTTTCTTTTATTTGCGTTTTCCATACTGTCACAAATGTTTATGATTTGGGGTTGTATATTGGTTTTAAAACTTGTGTCTGTGGTATGATGGTTTATTCATCAAACCTTCTTGGGTAGAGTCAGAGGTACATCTAGACGACATTCGTTCTTCTCGTATCTCATCTGCATGTAATCAAAGTCAAACCTCTTCAGATGCAGGGTGAGAACATTGGGATATTCATCTATTTTAGTCCACTGCAAAAGTAGCACAATTACAAGGACATATGTTAAGCACATAAACCCAAAAATTAATCTGTTTAATAATGCGGGTGATTAATTTTGACAATCTTGCATTTTAAAGGTGCCACATGAACGGTTAGAAATAGTTGAATAATCAGAGTTCAGTACATGGATTAGGCCATATGCACACAGACTTTTAATATTCAGCCAGGCAGCTCAAGAGTTTCCGGTAAACTGTCTTTCCATTACAAAATTGACACGTTTAAGATCAGATTTTTAAAAAAAATCAGTGATCTTCACTGCCTGTTAGATATACGATAGGAAGTGTTTATTAGACCAAACAAGAAGCACTGCATTACATTTCATTGAATCCACAGAATCTTGATGAACTCTGGGAGACCTGCAAGAACGCTTTCTTTGCCATTCCAGATGACTTTATTAGTAAGTTATTTGTGTCATTGCAGCGATGTATGGATGCAGTCCTCAAGGCTCATGAGAGTCATGCACAATACTAACTCTTGTTCCACTGCAGCATGACTTTATATCCTATACTGTACATTATTTCTGTTTAATGACAAGACTTTTGTTTAAGCAAACTCAGACCTTACAGTCCTAATTAAATAATAAAAAATCAAGGTGTGATCATGTTTTATTTTGGTAAAATAAACATAATCTTGAGGCCTTTGCCTTTCATATAAGCCACTTCTGATACCGAATGATCAACTAGAAGTCAAGTTATTATTTACTGTTCATAAAACTTGGATATGCGACAAGACTTTTATCAGGCAGTGTATAACTTGTTAGTTTAACGTTTGATAGCTTAACATGTACATTGTATATTGCCGCATGTCTTTGTAATGAGGACACATGTAGACTGCTGAATATAAATGATTATTCATGCATCGTGTCATATCAATCATTAAAATTTAGCATATTGAATCAGTGCATGCTATGGCACCTTTAATTCACTCACCGTTTCAGTTTTTGTTTTGCAGTCACATTCATCACAGTACACCCAGTCATCTTCATCAAGTATTGAATGTTCTTCGAAGGTCTTCAGGCCTGTTTCCTGTAGGGTCAGAAAAACAGACTTAGAGAAGAAGCTACATTAAGCAATGACCAGTTTCCTAGAACAAAAACGACTTTTAGATGACAATGAATTGATGTAATATGTTGGGCATATGTTTAATGGATGGGATGTATTTAGCCTTCTTACCACATCATACATCTTGTTATTTTCAACATTGATGGACAGCAGTATTGAGATAAAAGTGTTGGTTTCTGGCATTTCTTTGCCACATTTGCCACATTTTGTTATGTTGATCATCTTCCCTTCAAAGACCTGGAACAGATGCAGGGCTGTTTTAATTTTTGACTCTTTTTCAGTAATCCTTAATAACCACAAACTTTTCCAGAGTTTTTAAATTATTGTTGATATGTGACGTATACCTTAAAAGCAAGTGGTCCCATTGTTTTTAAAATCTTTCTGTAATACTCCACTGCATCTTGTTGTTCGAAAACTTGAAGATAAAAAATATATGTAAATTATGTTAACATTTGTAAACCTACAATTTAGAGAAAATAATAGCTGTTTTACTCATCAACATTTAACTTGTTCTGTTAAAAACTTTTTGTGTCAGTACTTTGAGCAGTTAATTAAACAAACAGACCATTTCTTATGCCAAGACTCCTGGTTACTCCTTCAGTTGTGGTTACTGTTTTGGACAGCTTTCTGAAGAGCCTCTGAAGTTGTACCAGGATATTTTCCTTTTCAAGAGAATCTTCAGATCTATACCTTGTTCAATAAATATGAAAAGGTAGTGCAGAAAACATAATAAAGTGGGACTTTAAACAAATAATAGTAGCAAAAAAATTAAATTATATATATATATATATATATATATATATATATATATATATATATATATATATATATATATATATATATATATATATATATATATATATATATAATTCATTTTAATTTACCTCAGAACTTCCTCTCTGAATTCTTCAGTCATGAATAGACATTGTAGCACTGCATTTAAATAGCAGGTGGCACCTTGATTGGTGAGACCATAATACTGGACTGCATTCCTGATCACAACGTGACATAAAACGTTCATTAATCCATTACATTTGATACTACTGGATATTTTTAGTGCTTCCAAATATTCCAAATTTTACAAACAAGCATGTTCCGTTTTCATTTAGTCGAGATTATAGTATTTAACTTCATAACCTTTGACTTCATGTGATCAGAGTATAAAACAGAGATCTTAAGACTATGTCGTTTTAAACAGTTTTTAGATGGCAATGTTATAAAAAGCCAAACATACCTGTCATTTGAAGACTTTTCAGGGGTCGTCATGGTGAATACGGATATTTTAGTAGGCTTTACGCTCGTCTATTAGGCTATTGTGTGTAGCCTATGTGTAGATTAAAAGCTTTCTGCAAACTGTTTGCAAAATTCAATTTAGCCAACCGAAATAAAACAGCTTGGGCTACATCAAAAAGAAAACTGAAAATACCTTTAATATTAAAAGTCGAATTTGGCAACAACCGATTACCTCCGTTTTTTCTTCTAGAACACGGTGGAGAATCAGTGAGCACACATTAAATGAGATCAACGTAAAATGAACAGTTCCAGCTTGGCCACTTTAGTTTTACTTTCGATTTTCCTATAGCTATAAAGTCAACAAGGAAATAACATTGTATAAGATATTTTTAATTCAACAATTCAATTCAAACAATGTAATAATTTCTGAGAAAATCACTGAACATCGATCATTTTGATTGTATTCACATTTTATTCAGTTTATATACATATAATTACATTTCTCTATTTTTTACATTTCAAGTTTCACAGAGTTTTCTGACAGTGGCACGACTCTCAGACCATGTAATAGTGTACAGCAAGGTGCTTGGCACAAATAGTTGAGGAGTGGAGTGAGTCTCTGTGTCAACTGTTTTTGTTTTCTCGACACCACGAGGTGCATTGCAGCAAGAACTGTTCCTCTTATCGGGTTTGGGAACCTCCAGGAAGACGCAGGACCATGAAGAGAGTGGAGCGGTCCTTGATTTGGTGGTCTAAAAACGTATCATTGTCCTCCAGTTGTTTATCTGTGTACAGGAGCCTCATGGACGATGGGTCATCTCCTATATAATAAGATAGAAGATACATGAGTACAGTAAAGTTAGCAACAGATTCGCATTTTCCGGATCGACATGACAGAAACATGTTCCTACACAAATAGCTCTTTTCAAGCGCAAACAATCAAAAACTTATTTTCCAATATATTAAAATTATATTTACAAAATAAAAGATCAAACATTTTAACAGTTTGAAGAGGCATATTTAGTATTTATCTCACCTGCTTGTCCAGGTAACTTTTCTGCAACTTTCTTTTTTAATTCCAAAATAGTGGTTTTATTGAAGTCTTCCTCTGAGCTGGCTACATCAATAGTTTTTTTCTCCCCCTTTATTCCAACAACCATGACCTGGTAAATCTTGCCCATCTAGGACGTGTGAAGAAAGACGTGTGAAGTGTGCACGTTTCGCTTTCTGTTTTTATAAGCGCACGTTAACGCCACCTCTTTGACAATATTTATGGTTTTCTTGGCTGACATTTATAACAATCGATGCACAACAGACTTAGCTTATATTTTTGTGATGTAATTGAATGACGTGGCTTTTAATTCGAAAAACTAATGTAATAAACAGTTTCAACTTTCAAAATCAACTCAAGGCGTGGCCGTGATGACAAAAACAATATCTGTAATGCATGGTTATAGGGCTAGTCTATTGAAATACTTTCCTGTAGAAATCACTAAATCCTAAAGTAAATTGTCCCCAGAACACAGCAGAAACCAGTAAAATGTACATTGACTCTTAATGTAATCTGTGAGGTGGATATAACAAGAACTTCCGCGATGATAGCATATCTCTTAAATTGAGAAATCATGTGACCTACTGTAAATCCTGAACAAAACACCACCAACTCGTGGGTTTCGTTTCTAAATCGACTTGAGCTGCAATAGAGATCAACAATGACGGAACAGCAGGAAGAAAAACGCTACGATCCCAACGACACGACTCTGAAGTTTGTAACGCGCAAGGATGAAATAAGTATGGGCGGCAGCTGATATTGATATGCTGAGTATTAAAACAATTGCTTATTTTTTCCTTAGATGCTATTCCTGTGAGATGCAAAATCATAGGTTGCAGTAGGACAAGCAGTTTGCAATCACATAAAATTTTTTTGTGTGTAGGTGTAGGCTGAAAAATTATTGTTGACTTTAAAGGGTGAACGTAAAGTGCTCTTGGTCCTTGAAATGATCGTGCTAAATCCATTTGGTGGTGTTTTAAGTGGTGTGAAAAATAATGTTAAATGTTGCAATATTTTCTAATTTAGGGGAATTTATTGCATATTACTGTATTCACTTATATACTGAATACAATTCCTTTATTATGACCTGTTTACCAAATTTGTGCACAGTTCGGAAAATTTCTATTTCCTACTTGAACTTGCATAAATATGGCGCTGCTTGTGCCTGTCTGACACATGCTGAAACTTCAAATATTTACAAAGTAAAATAAAAAGTGTGAATTTATGTGAAAATTACACAAAAATACAATTTAAACCTGATATATACACTCACCGGCCACTTTATTAGGTACACCTGTCCAACTGCTCATTAACGCAAAATTTCTAATCGGGCAATCACATAACAGCAACTCAATGCATTTAGGCATGTAGAAATAGTCTAGACGGTCTGCTGCAGTTCAAACTGAGCATCAGAATGGGGAAGAAAGGTGATTTAAGTGACTTTGAACGTGGCATGGTGTTGACTGGCTGGTCTAAGTATTTCAGAAACTGTTGATCCACTGGGATTTTCATCCACAACCATCTCTAGGGTTTACAGAGAATGGTCAGAAAAAGAGAAGATATCCAGTGAGTGGCAGTTTTGTGGGCGCAAATGCCTTGTTGATACCAGAGGTCATAGGAGAATGGCCAGACTGGTTCCAGCTGGTAGAAAGGCAACAGTAACTCAGACAACCACTTGGTACAAAAACTGAGGTATGCAGACAACTGAGGTATGCAGAAGAGCATCTCTGAATGCACAACACGTCCAACCTTGAGGCAGATGGACTACAGCAGCTGAGGCTACAATCACTCAGGCTCACCAAAATTGGACAATAGAAAATTGGAAAAACGTTGCCTGGTCTGATGAGTCTCCATTTATGCTGCGACATTTTGATGGTAGGGCCAGATTTTGGCGTCAACAATATTACACTATTGATCCCTCCTGCCTTGTATCAACGGTTCAGGCTGGTGATGGTGTATTGTTGTATGGATATTTTCTTGGCACACTTTGGGTCCATTAGTACCAATTGAGCATTGTGTTAATGCCACAGCCTATCTGAGCATTGTTGCTGACCATGTCAACCAACCCTTTATGACCACAGTGTAGGCATCTTCTGATTGCTACTCCAGTAGGATAACACGTCATGTCAAAGCGCAAATCATCTCAGACTGTTTTTTTATTTGCAATATTTCCAATACCTTATTTCTAATACAATACAGTATTTTCTATACATTACTATAGTACTTATTAATGTGGACAGATACCATAAACTAACAAAAAGAAAAAAAAGAATGACAAAATGCTGAGACAGATGATTACTTGCTATCGTCTGTCTCGCACTGAGAGGACCAAGACTTTAGTTAATCCAAGCATTCATAAATGAATTAGTAAGTTGCTTGGTAATGTTTAATGTCTGTTTACTGACCAGTTAAATGATGTGCTTTCAGCCCTGGATGATGACCCGGCCATCCTTCGAGCCGAGATGTCCTGTGGTCATGCTGTCACCCCAGAATCCCTGACAGGATGGTGTCGCAGTCTACTAGATCAGGTAACACCACTTCTGAATCAACATTCCTTTTGAACAAAGCCATATACTCACAGTACACAGAGATTCAGTGCTCTCTGAGTAAGTTTAATTGTCATATTCGCAGGGTCAGTACAAGTTCACATGCCCTGCACTTATTGGTGAAAACGCGAGACAGAAGTGCAATGCCGAATGGCCCTACGTGGAGGTGCGGAGGCTGGCTTTACTCACACAAGAGGAGCAGAGCCATTTTGAAGAGACCATGGCTGTCTTGGCTGCAGCTGAGTACTGCGAACACAAAACTGTGAGTTACTGGCATACATTAAAAAGCAGGTGCATATAGGAAGCTGATAAATGCTAAAAACACCAAAGGACTTTTTTAAAGGATCAGTTTAGTAAATTGATAAAAGAATTGAAAAGGTTTTGTTGATTAGCCCTTTTGATTGATTGATAAACCCCAGATTTCAAATTACATAAACATAACAATTTTTCTTCAAAAAAGCAGTTCAGCAAAAAAAAGGGAACACTTTACAATAACAGTACATGAATATTGATGTATTAATATGTAAACTAAACATTACTTTATTCTGAATTAATGATGAATTAAGGCACACGCTAATCTTGAAATAACCTTACCACATGAGTCACAAGAGTTCATGTGTGAATAACGGCTACCTTAATTACTTGTTAGTACATGATGTTAATTAATGTATTAAAAAACATTTAATAAAAAAACATTTAAGTTTAAGCTAAATGTAAAAAACATAAACTGATGAGAAGTTAACCGATAATAATGTCATGACTTTACTTGAAGGATCACATCATCATTAACTCATCCTTAACTACTCTTGAACTCCTCGTTATGCTGATGTTGACAGAGCACTTTTCTATTGTCATTCAGTGTAAACACACTTGACGGATGTGCATAAGGAGTAAGAATGGATTTATGATGATGTGCCCCTCCAAGTAGTGTCACAATATAATTATACATTAACATGTCATAAGTTCATGATGGTTAAATAAAACATAAACTATATATTAATTAACAAAATCATGTATTAACATGTAATTAAGATAGTCGTTATTCACACATTAACTCATGTGACTCAAGTTGTAGTCAAAGTTAGTTCATGATTAACTCATCATTAGTCCGTAATAAAGTAATGTTTACTTTTAATATTAATACATCATTATTCATGTACTGTAGTTGTAAAGTGTTACCGATTTTATTTGTATTTTTTTGCTAAACTACCTTACTTAAGAATATATCATTCATTCATTAGCTTGTCGGCTTAGTCCCTTTATTAATCTGGGGTCGCCACAGCAGAATGAACCGCCAACTTATCCAGCACGTTTTTATGCAGCGGATGCCCTTCCAGATGCAACCCATCTCTGGGAAACATCCACACACACTCTTACACTACAGACAATTTAGCCTACCCAATTCACCTGAACCGCATGTATTTGGACTGTGGGGGAAACCGGAGCACCCGGAGGAAACCCACGCGAATGCAGGGAGAACATGCAAACTCCACACAGAAACGCCAACTTAGCAGAGGCTCGACCCAGTGACCTTCTTGCTGTGAGGGGACAGCACTACCTACTGCGCCACTGCGTCACCCTGAAGAATTTATAATATATTATATTTATGTAATTTAATAAAGAGTTTATCAGTCAAACTTTATAAATTCTTCTATCAATTTACTGAACTGTACCTTAAAAAAAGGTATGGTATGATAGCAAAAATGAAGGTAAAAACAATATTATACAAGTAGCATAAGAGCAACTGTTCTTCATTATTGGACACTTGTCTTCATCTTATATGAAATTATGTAGATATTTGTTTCCATGACTTGTCAGACTTGTTGGACATTTGCAGTAAACGGGTGTCACACCAAAGGACAACAAAACTAAGTTTTATAGTGATTTCAAAAAAATATGCAGAAAATTGAGACAAAATTGAAACATGCAAAATGTGCATGTTATGGGCTGCACAGGGGGTATATGAGCCATAAGTTCATATTAAATTCATAGTAATGGGAAAAGCAAAACTCATTGAAAAGCGAAAATATGGTACTAAGTAATTTAATTTTTAATATAGAGTTTTTTGACTGTGTAATGTAGTTCAGTTAAGTTGTTATTAAACATTTTTCGAAACGACATCACTGGACCGTCTTATGTTACTTGGGTTTAAATCCTGTCAATTCAACGAAAAAAACAAGACAAGAAGAGACGGATTGATGGCACATACTCAGTCACATAATCTTGAATGGGGGACCTCAAATAATTAAAGTTTTCAGTGGATTTGCATTTGGTGTGAGGACAAGATTTTCCAATGGCAAAATGTTTTAATTTCTTATGTTTTTAGAAATAAAGTGCTCAGCATAATTGAGTACACCCCATTTTGAAAATGAATATTTTTATCCATTTCTCAGTGAATACAGGTCATATATTTTGGTGCATTTAAACAAAACAGATTTATTAAGCAGATATATTTATTAAAATAATATTTTAGTCACCAAACATAGTTAGAAATATAAAGATAATACATTCATAATAAATACAAACTACAACATTGTGTACATCATTTGCTTCCCTTAAAAATGCTATTTAATATTTCTCTACAGCATATAAATTTGGCATACTAATTTATGGACTAATATTTTAAGCTATTTTGTTAGATAAGCTCCAGATTTGACTTCAGTGTTGACTAATGTAAATGAACAAATGTATTATTGTAAAGCATCCTCTAAAAAATATGAATCTAAATGAGAGAATTGTGAGAGGTGTACTTATATATGCTGAGCACTGTGTATGGATGGAAAAAGTATTGCAATTTATATAAACAGTCACTTGTAAAATTCAGCCTAAGATATTTATTGACGATTTTTATTTTTTATTTTATTTTAAAAGAACTGTATTTTATTGAACTATGTTTGAGAAAGTCACACTAGGGCTGCACGAAATTTTAAAAATCTGACATTGCGATATTTTGTTTTGCCGCAA